AAAGGGATTATGGGGATTACAATTCAAGATGAGATTTGGGTGGGGACACAAAGCCTAACCATACCAGGAGGCAGTTTATCTTTCTAACTCTTCTAGTGAGCTGGCTCCTGCTGGGTTCCCTTCTATTACTTTTTTGTCACCCCCTTTCCCATACCCTCACTCCTCCCACCATAGAAATCCAACAGGATCTACAATTATTGGCAATGGCCCAGACTTCAAACTTTTCCTTCAATATCCTACCAAACCTTACCAGTCCTGTATCTTATCCCATCAGGGCTAGATTTTCAAGATAAACCAGAGGTCTTCAAACTTCAGCATGAATCAGAATCCCCTGGAGCACTTGTTAAAACACAGATTCCTGGGTCCCATCTTAGAAGTTCTGATTCAGTAGGTCTAGGGTGGGGCCCGATAATTTGCATTTTTTATAACTTCCCATATGCTGCAAAGGCCACATTTTAAGAACCACTGGAAAGAAACTAACGCAAAACCAGGGGCAGCAGGTGATAATACTGAATTGATGAAAGGGATCCTCAGTTCATTTTGACTCAGCCCCTTCACAGAGTTTCTGATTCAATTGGTGCTGTTGGGATTTGAGGAATCCCGTATCAATTTCCTTCTGCTTCACCTTGTCTTCCTCCTCCAACTTTCTTTTTTTTTTTTGAGACGGCGTGTCGCCCTGTCACCCAGGCTGGAGTGCAGTGGCACAATCTTGGCTCATTGCACCCCCTCACCTCCCAGGTTCAAGCAATTCTCCTGCCTCAAGTAGGTGGGACTACAGGCATGCGCCACTACGCCCAGCTAATTTTTGTATTTTTAGTAGAGATGGGGTTTCACGATGTTGGCTAGGCTGGTCTTGAACTCCTGACCTCAGGTGATCCACCTGCCTCAGCCTCCCAAAAAGCTGGGATTACAGGTGTGAGCCACCATGCCTGGCCCCTCCTCCAATTTTTTTTTTTTTTTTTTGAGACAGAGTCGCTCTGTCGCCCAGGCTGGAGTGCAGTGGCCAGATCTCAGCTCACTGCAAGCTCCGTCTCCCGGGTTTACGCCATTCTCCTGCCTCAGCCTCCCAAGTAGCCGGGACTACAGGTGCCCGCTACCTCGCCCGGCTAGTTTTTTTGTATTTTTTAGTAGAGACGGGGTTTCACCGTGTTAGCCAGGATGGTCTCGATCTCCTGACCTCGTGATCTGCCCATCTCGGCCTCCCAAAGTGCTGGGATTACAGGTGTGAGCCACTGCGCCCGGCTGATCCTCCAACTTTCTGATCTTATTTTTCAGATAGTTCTCAGGGCTTCTCCACTTGAGACTGACTCTACCATCGTTCTCGTTCTCCTATCACAAAGCCACAGTTTCAGGACAAAGCCGTTTCCTGATCTCTTAGCTCCATTTCAGTGCCCTCTTCTCCCTCCCTGCCCCTGAGTTGCTTGCTGCTCCTCTATCCAGTATTAGCACCCCCCACTCCAGCAGTCAGTGACCTGTGGAAAGCTGGGCTCCAATTATCTAGCAGGGGTAGCCATTTGTGCTCCCAGGCTGTAGAGTCTGGCTCCACAAACATTGGCATGCTAATGACAGTCACCTGCTCACCCCTGGGAAATCTCTGTTTGTTTCAGCTTCTTTAAGGATGTGGAAATACTGAAGCCACCTCATTTACATGCTTCTGTTCATTCCTTTACTCAACATTGATTGAACACCTGCCAGACACCATGCTGGGCCCAAGGGACCCCACAAGGACACATCAAACATGAGCACATACATGTTCACAGCAGCACCCGGGAGTCCCAAATGATTCTTCATAAAGGGGAATCTTTTGGCCTCACTCATCAATGAGGACAGACATTCAAGGAAGAAAACCCACGAACTGACCACTCATGAGCCCTCTTGCCTCCTCAACCCTTCCATCTCCCCTGTTCCTGAGAAGGTGGCTCAGGACAAAGACCGAAAGGCAAGCTCTCAGGCCTGGCATGGTGGCTCACGCCTGTAATCCCAGCACTTTGCGAGGCCGAGGCGGGTGGATCACGAGATCAGAAGTTCAAGACCAGCCTGGCCAAGATGGTGAAACCCTGTCTCTACTGAAAAAAAAAAAAAATAGCCGGGCGTGGTGGTGGGTGCCTGCAGTCCCAGCTGCGGCAGAGAATTGCTTGAACCCGGGAGGTGGAGGTTGCAGTGAGTAGAGATCGTGCCACTGCACTGCAGCCTGGGCAACAGAGCAAGACTCCATCTCAAAAAAAAAAAAAAAGAAAGGCATGATCCCAGAGAGTTTCCAAATCTCTTTATTGAAATGAGTGCTCTGATTCACATGTCTCAGTCGTTGGCCCACTGCACTGAGATAAGGTATGTAAAGCTAGTGAGCTAACACCGCTCTACACATTGACACACATACACTCACCATGCATTGAAATACACTGACACACCAACACATGCCAAAACACACACTGACACACTGAAACACCGCAAAACACACCAACATGCACACATGGACACACACCGGCAGACACAACCACAAATACAAACACAAGTAAACCCATGCCAACACACACATTGACACACAGATGTACAGACACACAGCTAGCACACACTGACAATACACACGAACACACCGACACATCTACTCACACATCAAGACCAACACACACACTGACCCACACCCCATCGAAGGAGGCTGGAGGCCCAGGCCCCAGGAGGGGCTTGTAGTCACACGGGACAGGTATTGGAGGAAACAAAGGGTCCCAGAAGACTTGAATTAAGCACTTGGTTCAGGTCTTCGAGGTTCAGCGTTTTGGAAGAGGAGGCCGCAGTGAGGTTCTGGTAGGCTCCAGGAACCGGAGGGCCGAATGGGGCATATGGATGAGACACCAAGGATTCCGTGCTCAGGTGCCCCCCAGCGCTGGGCCGGTAAATTCGGAGCTTCAATCCGTGAGGAGTGCTAAGGCGGGCGGGGCAGCGCGTGGGGGATTCCTGGGGAGCCCCGCAGCCCGCCAGTCCCCTCCCGCTCCGCTCCGGCAGCAGCTTTCTGCTCTGGCTTCCAAGTTCTCCCCTTTTGTCCCACCACCACCCCAAACCCCAAGTCCAGATCGGGGCTAGTGACCTCGGGCCCTTTCAGTCCAACTCGCCCTAGCCTTTGCCAGGGAAGAGCCCTGTCCCAGACACCCAGCCTGGAAGCCGCCAGTCACCTCTGACTCCCCGCCCCCATCCGGTTGGGGCCCAAGCCTTACCGTAGTTCCTCAGATATAGCCCTGGTCCCACGTGTCACTGCCAACCCAATCCAGGGCTCAGGCCCTGCCCCAAAGCTCCAGAGGGTCTGAAAGACTCCAGCTGCCCCTCTTCCTTGCCACCGCCATCAGCCCTGTGGCCTACGCCTTCTGTCTCACGGAGCTCCCCTGCACTGAACCCTGATTGTGCCAGGCTTTTTTCTTTAGGCCGCTCCTGGGTCTCCAGCACAATGAAGGCGCACAGTGGCGCTCCCTGAATACTTGGCTCTTCATGACTGTCCTTACTGCTATTCCCTCACTGTGTCTCTACCTCCTTATCCCCGCCCCCCACGCACGCTTCCGAATTCTCTGCCCTCAGCTTAATGGAGAGCCTCCTGGCTGCGAGGCCCTACACTCGGCCCCGGGATGCGTTTGCTGAGCCCTTGTTCTCCAGGCGCACAGGGTACATACATAAAGGGCTTCCCGAGAGAATGTGAGAAGCTCCATCCAGCAGGTGGAACCAAGTGCCAGGCATGCTCTTCTTTGGCCACTCCATTTTCTTGTCTTCCCTGACTTCTCCGAGACCAGGGCCTGTGGGTCTTCCTCTCTCTCCCTGGTTCCTACTTTTCTTTTTTCCTCTCTCCTGCCTCCCCCTCAGCTGCTCCAGCCTTGGGCCTTTAAGGGGTCATCTCCCATGCTCCACTGGGGCCCCCTCTTGGGCCGGGGTTTCCTCCATAGGCTTGTCATCCCCTCCCCCATCTGGGGTCCCTCTGGCGGGCCCAGGTCTCTCTCCCACAGCAGGGAACCTGCCCTTTTGAGGAGTGGAATGTACTGTCCCTCCCGCTGGGGCCTCGGGCATGCCAAATCTGCCAGCGTGCTCCAGTGACAGGGAGCTAGCAAGAGGCCAGCCCCAGGAGAGAGGAGAGGGCGCCAGAGCCGGAGAAGTGGAGAGGTGCCCACGAGAGAGGACCCGCGGAGGTGGGCCAGGGGGATAAGGAGGGCGGGCGGGCACACTCCTGCCTTCGGAAGTTCTCTCCTCTGCGCCCTATTGGCCGCCTTGTCCCGGGCTGAATGAGGGTCAAGGAGAAATCAGGGGGCGGGACAGAGTGACTGGAGGCCGCTCCCCGTCACCCGCCCCTCCATCTCGCTCCATAGAGCTGGCAACCTTCATCCCCAGCCCCTCCTCTGGTACTAGAAGGGGTGGGTAGTCCGAGTCTCTGGTCTTGCTGAGCGTCTAGGGCTGGGTCGGAGAGAGGAGGCGTGGGTTCCGTCTGTACTACGTACCCAAAGGTGGTGAGCTTTGCTCCACGAAATTACAGCCCACAGCACCCAAGGCTTGGAAACCCCTGGGCAGAAGCAGCATCTCAAGACCTCTAGCCTCGGACCCCACATGCCACAGCTCAGCTCAGTTGCGGGACTGCAGTGCGGCTCCCCGCACCGGCCCCCTTGCTAAGCTCTACTGTGGAGCGGCAGGTGCCGCAGGCCTCCCCTGTACCTCGGCCTCAGCTGCGCTCCCGGGCCATGGGGGGAGGGAGACACGACAGTGGGGCATCGAGACTCCAGCGGCCAAGGCGCACCCATCTAAGCACCCTGGGATCTCGGTGGAAAGGAAGGGGGCTTCCGGGGGCCGGGAGGAGAACTGCAGAGCTTGGCCGCTGAGCTTAGCATGGGAGGGGGGAGGGGCGGGGGCTCCCTTCCAGCCTCCGGGGTCTGGGGACTTAGGGATGTAAAGGAGAGCAGGGGGGTGTGACAATTCAGCAGAGGTCGGGACGTACCACGGAGCCAAGTGGCGGGGGGGGCAGAGGACGTGGTCACCGAGGGGAGCCCCCGCCCCCCTTCGCAGAAGCCTGCGGCTGGGGTTGCAGGAAGAACTGGAACTGGGCTGGCCGAAGTGGGAAGCGGCGCGTTAAATCCGCCCCCTCTCCATACCCTACTTTCAAGGGGTGGGCGGTAGAGGGGAGGTTGGGGTTGGAGCAGCGGCGAGGGGGCCCCTCCCTTGCACCTCCCCCCACCGGACTTGGTCGCGCCCGAAGTGTAACACTTTCTCTTTGTCGGAGGAGCTCCTCTGTTTCCTGTGCAGTAGCTCCCGTTGCGGCTGCACCCGTGGCAGCCCTGGCGGACGCAGGAGCGATGGCAGCGACCGATATAGCTCGCCAGGTGGTAAGTGCAGAGCTTGGGTGCCAGGGCCAGGGCCCAGGGCCTGGGGAGGGTCAAGGAGACCTGGCCGCCGCCCCCACATCGCGAGGAGGGCAGTAGGCAGCATCCAGGAGCCGAGGGCACGGTGGGACTTCTGCTCCCGGGGTCAGCAGCTCAGTCCCCCAGCCAGTCCCGGAAAACGGTGGTGGCGCGCGGGGGTCGGGGGGCGGCAGGGGGGCTGGCAAAGCCTGTGGGCCGGCGGCTGAACTTGCATTGCCCAAGAGCCGCAGTGAGTGCGGCCGCCTCCCTCGCTGCAGCTGCGGCCCCACGGCTGGGGCGTTGCCGAATGAATGGCCGTAGGAGCCGCCGAGCCCTCCAGGTCCCTGGCACCCTGGCCTTGCCGCGCCCCTGCGCACGGCTGCCCGTTGTGACCCGGGACGGCATAGGCAAAGAGGCGCGGGGCTGGGGTTAGCCTGGGGCAGAAGGCTGTGAGTGGCGAGGGGGGCGGGGAAGTGACTGGCTGGGATAAGGTTTCTCTATATGCATTACATATGTGACTGCGTCTGTGTGTGTATCGGTGTGCGCGTATGTGTGCACGCGCGCGCGCTCGTGTCTTCCCGGGCGGGCGGCGGCGGCGCCAGGGTTCTGTCTGTGACCCAAAGAAGTCCGCCTGTTTCTCTGAGTGTGCTCACCTCTGTGGTGTGTGTCCGAACGCCTCTCTGTCTGCTTGTGCTGTGTGCCTCTGGGTCTCATTTGTGCGTCAGTGTAGGGTGCAGTTGGCTGGCCTGTAGGTGGCTGGCTGCGTATTTTGGCATGTTTTGGAGCGGGCCTCTGAGGATCTGTCTCGGGTGCATGTTCAGTGTAACTGGGCTTGTGTGCCAAAACCTGTGGAGCTGGCTTCTTTCTATGGAGACTCAGGAAAATAAGTGTGAGACTCGCAAAAGCGGTGCCGTCTCTTTTTTTGTTGGCGACCGACTCGGGGAAAAAAAAAAAAAAAATCTTCATTTAAAGAACTGAAGTTTTCCAGCCTGCGATGTGCAGAGAAACCATGTTGAAGTGACCTGAGGCTCCATGTTTGTTTTTTAGACCAGAAGTTTGGTTGCAAAGGGCGATGAATTCCATTTGGGGGGGACACCCTAGCTTGTCTATTCATCCATGGGTATCTGGGACTTTAAGAAGCCCACCAGCACCCCGAGGTGAGGAAGGAGTGGGAGACAGAGGTAGGTCAAATCCCATGACACCAAATGCTACTTGACGAAAATCTCTGAACCACATAAAAATGTTTTTCAACCTTGTAGCTTACTTGTTTAGGAAAATAGTTCATGCAATGCAATTACAGTACCAAAAAAAAAAAAAAAAAAAGCCTCTAGGTATTTGGTGTAATTGAAATTGATTTTTCAAAATCTGAAGCCAGAATCTGATAGTATTTTCTCTACAGAATATGTATTAATGTATTCCTCTCTTTTGCCCCTGTTTGGAAAGGCAGGATCATTTCTTCAGAACCTCCTCCACCCCCTGCACACCCTAGCACAGTGCACTTTATGCAGTCATGATGTGGAAGGACCAGGAGTAGACAGGAGACATTCTCTGTGATGATGGAATTTGAGAGAATTTTCTTCCCCCAAGATTGGCACTCTCATTGTTTATTGCTTTAGTGTTTTGAGGGCTCCCTCTTTTCTGCTGTGGCTTTTCTGCTCCTGGTTACCTGCATGTCAGAGATGGTATATGAAGTAGAGGAATTAATCTCTGGGATTACACTTGCTCCATCCAAAAATGAGGCTAATGATTTTTCATGTCAGCTAATGAATTTGCATTGACCTGTCCTCCATATTCTCACCAGTTTCTCTTGCCTGGATTAGGATTGCAGGGCAGATGTTGCAAAGGGGAACATTCCAGAAGATTGTGTGTGTTTCACCTCAGGCACAACTCAGGCAACCCAGAGATGCCCTTTGTTCTGCAAATGGGGGTGAGGGGGTGGTTTAGGGCCACTTGGTTTGCTTTGCATGGCTCCAGTTTGCTCTGGCTGGCCTTGCCATACTGTATGATGAAGAACATAATTGTACGCCAGATTCTGAAGCTGAAAGAGCAGCCTAAGCACTCGAGACCTTGTTATCGTGATAAATGGGTTTCTGGGAAAACTGACGTCACTCTCCATGCCCCCCTCCCCCAGCCAGTGAAGCTCCTGTTTATGTGTCATTTGTCTCTCTGTTCTCCTTTGTGTCTGCAAGAAGTTGTAATTCACCAGGGAAGATGGAATTAACTCAGGAGACCTTGGACATCTGGTTGCTGCTTGTTTCCTCCAAGGAACATGTATTCAGGGTTTGGGAACAGAAGACTAGAGAATAAACCTAAGTGTGGCTAGCTTAGGATTCTTTTTTTTTTTTTTTTGAGACGGAGTCTTGCTCTGTTGCCCAGGCTGGAGTGCAGTGGCACAACCTCTGCTCACTGCCAACCTCAGCCTCCCGGGTTCAAGTGATTCTCCTGCCTCAGCCTCCCGAGTAGCTGGGATTACAGGTGCCCGCCACCACACCTGGCTAGTTTTTGTATTTTTAGTAGAGACAGGTTTTCACCATGTTGGCCAGGCTTGTCTCGAACTCCTGACCTTGTGATCTGCCCACCTCAGCCTCCCAAAGTGTTGGGATTACAGGCGTGAGCCACTGCTCCCAGCCAAGAATTCTTTTTAATGAGCTCTGAGATGTGGTACCATACGAGTAAGTGCCCTAGTGTGTGTGTGTGTGTGTGTGTGTGTGTGTGTAAGCAGTGGTTGTGTTCTTTCTAGAGTCAGTTGAGAGTCACTGTGGGTAAACATCCTTAGTGATTAAAACAAGCCTTGTTGGGTAAGGCTTGTTGGGTAGGGCTTATATTGCATGCAGCCAACTTTGGAAGCTCAATTCTGGTGCACATAATACAAGTCCATCCCATTTGAATGAACACCACAAAGGGTTTGGTGTGACAACACCATTTCTCCACTGTGTCCATATTTATTTGATTGAATGATATGTGGCCAGCACTATGGTTAGCCCTTGTCAACTGGACAAAAAAAGGTAGTAGGCTTTAAAAAATGTTCGTGATTGGACTGGGCTCAGTGGCTCACACCTGTAATCCCAGCGCTTTGGGAGGCTGAGGTGGGCAGATCATGAGGTCAGGAGTTCAAGACCAGCCTGACCAACATGGTGAAACTCCGTATCTACTAAAAATACGAAAAATAGCCGGCTGTAGTGGCGCGTGCCTATAATCCTAGCTACTCAGGAGGCTGAGGCAGGGGAATCACTTGAACCCTGGAGGCAGAGGTTGCAGTGAGCCGAGATTGCACCACTGCACTCCAGCCTGGGCAAAAGAGCAAGACTTCGTCTCAAAACAGAAAAAAAAGAGGCCGAGGGGGGCGGATCACGAGGTCAGGAGATTGAGACCAGCCTGGCTAACACGGTTAAACTCTACTAAAAATACAAAAAAATTAGCCGGGCGTGGTGGTGGGCATCTGTAGTCCCAGCTACTCCGGAGGCTGAGGGGGTGAACCTGGGAGGCGGTGCTTGCAGTGAGCCAAGATCACGCCACTACACTCCAGCCTGGGCGACAGAGCGAGACTCCGTCTCAAAAAACAAAACCAAACCAAAACAAAACAAAACGTTCGTGGCTTTTAAGCTTATAGTCTAGTTGGAGTGACAAATTGTGGACACTGTGAAATAATTAAAGAACTATAGAAGATCTTTGGGATGCCCCACCTCACCTCCTGCCTATGAGGTGGCTTGGGCTGCTATTGATATATACTTCGAGAAGTTCCATGACTTGTCCAAGGTAACCAAGGCACAGGGCAGGCCCCAAAAGCTGCATGTGCTGGCTCTTTGAATAAGCTGTTCCTTTCAGTGTTGCATTCTGGGATCCAGACTGTAAATGCTGGCCCATACAAAGAGTATCTGGATGATTCTGGCTTGAACTAGTCCCGTAGTGTGAACAATGGAGCTTTCTTCAGTGGCAATCTAGGTAGTGGTCGTTCTCCCAAATGAACTTGCAGGGGCTAACTTTGCTCAACAAAGTTAGCTGGGGTTGGTCTGGGTCAACTGTCTCAGAGCAACTGTCTTCAGGTGGGGAAAAGATTGCTGCTGCACTCTGGTTTTGCTATCATCACGTGGCAGTTACTCTTTGATTCCCTTTGAGGTCTCTGCTTCAGGCGTTCCTACCACCACCCACTAAAGATAGTATCGTACCTCAAACACAGAAAACAAAACCCTATTACCTAGCTCTATTGGTGATACAACACGGAAGAAAGTTTACATGGCCCCAAATATTTAAAAATGCTGATTCTAAATTTGAGGGTTTTTTGAACAGTCATTGCATTATTTTCTAACTTTTCTGTGGGTTTGAGATGTCTCTTTTTTCTTTTCTTTTTTTTTTTTCCTGAGACGGAGTCTTGCTCTGTCGCCCAGGCTGGAATGCAGTGGCGCGATCTCAGCTCACTGCAACCTCCGCCTCCGGGGTTCAAGCAATTATCTTTTTTTTTTTTTTTTTTTTGAGACGGAGTCTCACTCTGTCGCCCGGGCTGGAATGCAGTGGTGGGATCTCAGCTCACTGCAAGCTCTGCCTCCCGGGTTTACACCATTCTCCTGCCTCAGCTCCCGCCACCTCACCCAGCTAGGTTTTTTGTATTTTTTAGTAGAGATGGGGTTTCACTGTGTTAGCCAGGATGGTCTCCATCTCCTGACCTCGTGATCCGCCTGTCTCGGCCTCCCAAAGTGCTGGGATTACAGGCTTGAGCCACCGCGCCCGGCCCAAGCAATTATCTTGCCTCAGCCTCCCGAGTAGCTGGGATTACAGGTGTGCACCACCATGCCCGGCTAATTTTTGTATTTTTAGTAGAGACAGGGTTTCACCATGTTGGCCAGGCTGGTCTCGAACTCCTGACTTTGTGATCTGCCCGCCTTGGTCTCTCAAAGTCCTGGGATTACAGGTGTGAGCCACAGCACCCAGCCTGGGATTTTTCAAAATAAAAAGTGGGCAGAATGACAATGCCCCCGAAATGCACATGG